AGGTTACCGGCTGGTGTATTAATTTCAGCCACTAAGTATTAAAAGCATTTTACAAACAAGGACGGTCGGAACAAAAATTAATAAATCACTTTGGTTTCCGTTTTGTTTTTAGAGCACGAGCCGTGATAGATCGATTCCTCTATTAATCGGAATACCGACTATTGTGTTGTTTTATTATAGGTATCGAACTTTACGGACATTGTTACTGGTGGTAGGACCTCTTGTGAGTCCGCACGGGTAGGTACCACCGCCCCGCCTATTTCTGCCGTGAAGCAATAATGCGTTTCGGTTTGAAGGGTGGGGCAGCCGTTGTAACTATACTGAGATCTTAGAACATATATCTTAAGGTGTGTGGCGCATTTACGCTGTAGATGTCTATGGGCTCCAGTAACCACCAATAAAAAAAAATGTCTACGCACGCAGTTTATAGTACCATTTTGGTACAAGGATTGTTGACATACACTATATCAAGACAAAATACTGTAATACCTTATTAATTAATACCATCCTTAATAGTCCATCACGTGAAGACATAAATAACATAACTGTTGTAATATTACTTAGCAATTTCGTGCAACTTAATTGCTGTTCTCTAGATAAATAGTTAGCCTATGATCAATGGATTTGTTCTGCCATAAATTCCAATCGAACGGTTATTTATTGAAATGAACTTCCTACACCAGACGAAGTGAACATAAATCTTTGTCTTATTGGAAGAAATGTGATTTCATAACACTATTGTTTCGGGAAAAACATAGACTCATACCATTGATTCTCTTACTACACTACCTTTTTTTTTATTGCCCTTGTAGGCAGACGAGCATACGGCCCACCTGATGGTGAGTGGTTACCGTCGCCCATGGACTTCAGCAATGCCAGGGGCAGAGCCAAGCCGCTGCCTACCTGCTGTGTTTGAAGTTTCATAAATCTTGTCGAGCGCGCGAGATTAAGCTATTAAGATTTTTTTCAAACACTTCAGTACCAAGCACCATCGCACCCAATGCCACCACGCATTGTTCATTCACAATAGGCTCCAGAGATCTTTTCTCCCACGTACCATCCGACTCTGGAATGAACTCCTCTCCGAGTATTTCTCAGGCGCTATAACACGTACTTTATCCAATTCGGATAGTAATTTGCTGTGGATAGTGGCTTGGCGAACCCGTTGAGTTTCTCGGCGGATCTTCTCAGCGGGTAACGATTCCAATCCGGTAATAGCTTCTTCATTTGCGAAGCAGCTACTCTTGATTTGTTAGGTCTCCCTTGGAGGCGCTCGGGTAACTGTTAGCAAATCCCATCCCTCCTGGCTGAGCCCTCGCTCGCCCACCTGTCCTTGTGAAACTGGAAAGGTCTCTGGGCCACAAGTAACCCTTTAATCATAAAAAAGTGGCTTCACTGAGCCCCCAGCGTTGTTCACTTCAATTCTGCCTGCGAAGGTAATAAAAAAAATCCAAAACAACAAATCTTGTATTTAAACGCTTTGGCTGAAAGCGTTAGGTGTGAATACCGTTCAAAATTCACAACTATGCCGCAATTTTAAATTTTACTGAGTAGTCCTTGTTTGTAAAATGAGTTAGGATAATAAATTCACGTATTCTATCCGGTAAAAAAGCGAAATAAAACGTAACTAATATAAAAACACTTTCTCAAGTTGAGTCTAGATCACGTAGTTCCGACTTGTTTAGTGTTTGTTGATTTTAGATTATCGCCATTAATTTCTTATTCATTACTATAAAATTCTTACTGTTCTAGAGCTCTTTCGTTATGTTATTATTTAGCATTACTAGCTATTATACAAGTATTAGAAAAGCAATATTAGCCACTATTAAGCAGTTACATAATGTTACTCATTGAAATTGCAGGGAAAAAAACGAAATTGTCTCAGATTAGTGGGCGGCGTCGTCTGTTGGCGGTCATCAGAAACAATTAGTTTTATCACGCGATGCAATTGTTTTTAGAGACTTTGTTTTAAGTCAATAAGAAACGTTGCTTATTATAATTATTTAGCAGACGTGAAAATGATGCTCAGGACGTACAGTACCCGGCATTAAATGTTTCACATCGACCTTTCGAAAGACCTTTTTTACTGGTGGTAGGACTTGTTGTGAGTCCGCGCGGGTAGATACCACCGCCCTGCCTATTTCTGCCGTGAAGCAGTAATGGGTTTCAGTTTGAAGGGTGGGGCAGCCGTTGTAACTATACTGAGATCTTAGAACTTATATCTCAAGGTGGGTGGCGCATTTACGTTGTAGATGTCCATGGGCTCCAGTAACCACTTAACACTAGATGGGCTGTGAGCTCGTCCAACCATTAAGCAATAAAAAAAAAAGAGGGAATCAGTTAATATCTCTTTCGCACACTATGTGATGTTTTTTAGGCGTTGTTTGAGTGTGTAGCGGTTTACGGACCTAACCGATATATCCGGTGTCTGTCAGTACATCCTGGGAGGCATGATGTCTTTTACATACATCCTTCAGAACTACTGTGGCCGTTTAAGACTGAAATGTATAGTTTATATTTTTTTTATAAAGCATTAATGTCGGACGGCGAGCACGTACAAACCGTAGGGTACTGATGTACGACCATACGCCGTCGACGTCAGAGAACTAAATGTCAGTCTGAAAAGTCACACAACAAATATTGTACCGTAGAAAAACAAAATAAAAATAAAGAAATAAATATAATTCGCCTCATAGTATTTTAACTGCGCCGCTTCCCAGCCCAAAGTATGTAGAGTAAGAAACTAATAAAGTAGAGAGAGAGGGAGCAGAACTATCTTAGGACAGAAGGTAATCCAGGAAGGAATTTAGAGCAAGAAAGCAATAGCGGGTTTGTATACCCGTGTACTCTGATGAAAAGTCCAACAGATCATTAACAGCGAACGATCCTCTGACCTCTAAACGACTTGAATAGCAAATAAATGCCTATCAAACAGCCGGCATTGGCAATATTTTAATTTCCCATAGGGATTTCGTACTGTGACCGGCTGGCACACTAGTCTATTTGGCGTTGCTCCATCAAGCTGAGTTAGCATTTGCATAGAGTCTTGAATGCTTGAGTTGTTCTAATAAAGTATCATGACTGGAAAGTCGAGTTGTTTTTTTTTGTATTGCTTAGATGGGTGGACGATCTCGCAGCCCACCTGGTGTTAAGTGGTTACTGGATCCCATAGACATCTACAACGTAAATGCGCCACCCACCTTGAGATATAAGTTCTAAGGTCTCAAGTATAGTTACAACGGCTGCCCCACCCTTCAAACCGAAACGCATTACTGCTTCACGGCAGAAATAGGGAGGGTGGTGGTACCTACCCGCGCGGACTCACAAGAGGTCCTACCACCAGTCTCGAATCTAACAGTTTAATCTGCTAGAGGCGCCACCTTTAAAAACAACAAAACTGCGATTTTGATGAAGACTCTATGGTCGGTAATAAGCACATCTTCCCTGTCATTCTGACAATACTGTTTCTCGTTGCCATCTTATTGAAAAATAACATATTATAATTAATATGCACCGCCACTCTATTTCCAGGCTCTGTATATTATAGATGTACTGCTTTTTTTTTTAACGCTAGGAAATCCATTTTGCGGTTACCCGGTCGAGGTTCTTTAACAGACCGGGTTATGCGGACTTCGACGCACCCAGAGAAGAAGAGGGAGAAAAGGAAGTCCGGGTCCTCCTCTTCTTCCAATTCCATAGAATATAGATGTACTGCCTGCTAACTTCATTGTAATCTGGTGTTATTGTAATCATCGTAATCATTTTACTGGTGGTAGGACCTCTTGTGAGTCAACACGGGTACCTAGGTACCACCACCCTGCCTATTTCTGCCGTGAAGCAGTCATGCGTTTCGGTTTGAAGGGTTTTGGCAGCCGTTGTAACTATACTGAGACCTTAGTACTTATATCTCAATGTGGGTGGCGCATTTACGTTGTAGATGTCTATGGGCTCCAGTAACCACTTAACACCAGGTGGGCTGTGAACTCGTCCACCCAACTAAGTAAGCATTAAAAAATCATAAATTTTTACATAAATAAACGAACCGCGTGCACTTCGTAACATAAGGCAAATAACACTACATAAGGAAGTAAGTTTTGAAGCACCTGCAGTTCGTACCAGCTTTTTGCATTTGTGTACTCCACCGTTTGTTTCCATTCATGCAAAGCCACGGAAAAGCATAATAACAAAAACCTTACATTGTTTGTTCAAAGAAGTTTACAGCCGTGAACGATTTTAGTGTGGTTTGTATAAGAATATTCAATAGTAGTTCACGTATTAGAAGCAGGTACGAACACTGGTCTCTACCAGTTCTACGTGCAAAATCAAAATACATCCAATATTAGTGAGATTTCGACGACCTCAGATGACCTCAAAGTTTTGCGGCGGCATTCGTTCGACAACACTGGTTGTACTGTGATTAGCCACTGACTATGTTACCAAATATTAACATTGATTTGAAAATTCTTAAAATTTGGAAATACTAAGAAGAATTTTAAGCAAGCAAACAAAAAGTATCTAAGTAAAAATGGAAAAAATGGAAATGTTGATAATTTGATTGGCAGTGAATTTTTTCATTATAAATTTTTTCGTATTTTTAAAGGTAGGCAGAAATATGTTTTTTTTAGACTAAAAGCCCTCTGGCTTAAAAATTCTACACAATTCAATAAATAGTTAGTTAAGATTTAAAAAAAAAAACTTTTGTTCACTCACTCGAAACTTTACTATTATTCTTCTTTCTTTTCATTTATTGATACACCGCTTATACTCTGTAAATAAAGAAGCCAGGCTTTATTTGTAAAGTTTCACCGGAGCCCGAGACAAGCTAAACAACTCAACGCACTACACTGGCTAAACGACGAATAATGCAAAAGAAATTTTTATCAACGATTTTAAGTTATAAACCACGGAGGCGAACTTCTTTTTGAAAGGCTCTATCCAAGACGTAAGCAATTTAAATATGTTTCAAAGATTTGAATTCAATTTGAAATTCATTGTTGCAGATTAGCAGTTCTTCTCGCAGCGGTGACAGCCTCCATCGGAGCTCCAGCATCATCAGCTAACTATGATGAGAACCTTACATTGGACAGAAAAGAGCAATCCACTCATGAATTATTAAGCTCGCTTGGCTTAAAAAAACTGAGAATACCGGCCGCGCATCACAGGAAGCGCCTCGCAGAACAAGGGAGACGCCATAGTACGGGAGACTCCAGAATGTACGTCATTAAACTACCCCCCAACATGAGTTATTACTCTCATGCCGATCCAGCGCCCGCCGCAGCGAGGACTCTACCTCTTCAGATGAAGAGCAACGGAAAACCTGCACGCGTTTACCACTGGAATATTCCAGTACTGCAGAAATTGGCAAAGAACCGACCTCAGGCAAGATTCGACGACGATAGCATAGTCGATGTTGAAAGTACTCCAACGTGGCCAAAAGCACCGACCGATCATCCGAACGCTCTTGACGCGTTGGCGTATTACGTTCCCGCCAAAAAGACGTCGTTCCGAAAATATTTTTCAGGCAACGGGAAACCGAAATCGTTTTATGTGATCGAAAAAAACAAGAGTGCCGCACAGTATCATAAGTTATTGCCTTAATTGAGATAATTTGATCACGGTTAGATGTACGAAAGAAAATAATCTCTAATATAACTCTTGACGTGAATGATAAAACGCAGCATAGATTACAGATTACATAAAGGACTAAGTAATAAAAATATTGTTTTATTAAACAAAAATGGCCAGTTGTAGCTTCATTATTGACTGAGTGAAAACTCAGACAATTAAATGATATGTTATAACAAAATCAATGTAAAATCACTAGAGCAAAATTCCTACACCTAAATTGTATTTTACTAAATTAAAGGTCTTAATCTGTGAGTGAACCTCCTTGTATTTTGAAGATGATTGTAAAATTGCATTGGCAAAAATATATATCGGAAATTTGAAGGAACAATATAGATTTCAAATTGTCAACTCCAATTTATTATTTAAAATATATAGCTGCAACCCTTTATAGGTTATCATTTTCGTTAATTCATTTAGAAATTAATATAGTCGTAACCCTAAGGAAAACTTTATTTATAGTAGTTGACTTTTGAATAATGAAAAATCCTTATGGTGTCCACTTAAAAAAATAAAAATGATCGTAAATTAATTTTTTATCCAGAACTAACCCAATTAAATTCACTTATCATCTGTTTATTGTTTTTCATTAAACTGCATTTAAAGTAGTATGTATATGGAACCAAATGTTTCCCCAATATATTTCACTCTAAATAATTGAAGCCAATTTCAAAGTTGTCATATTTTCGTTTTCAATAAAGTACCTACGAGTAACATTCGTAACTCCAAAAATCAATAATTTTACAGACTTCAAATCAAAATAAAGGAGGCTCTTGATTCGAGGCGTATGTTTCAATTAATACAATTTTAATGCGGTAATATTTTTTAAGTAAAATAGATTATTTATATCCGCATAGTAGGTAATCGATCCAGTGCGTGTTAATGTAAAAAAGCTTTTATTATATTTTCTAAGTAGCATTAAGTAAACGATAGGTGCTTAGATCTATTATTAAGACTGTATTACGAATTTAAATTATTTTTTACTAAAGTTAAGATGCAACATTTTTAAAATAATCTTTGGCTATTAGAATCTGTATGGTTGTGGTACTTGGTGGTTGGTAAGGCTTATTAGTATGCAGGGTGTCTTTAAACGGTTCCCGGATGGTGTATCCAGTGACAGGTAGCAGAACCAGTGATTTCTCTTAGCGGCTCAGATCAGATAAGACACAGATCGATTTCGAAAAAGTGTACAATAATGTTTTTTGGCTTATAGCTCAATATAATACTTCGACGCTAACAAATCCAGTGAAATATTTGACGAAAGCCCAAACAGATTTGACTCGAGCGAAGGGTCATGACAACGAGTGTCCAATCCAAATGACCGTGATTAATGTTATCTGAAATATTATGGGATTCAGTTTTGGTACAACAAATGCGATTTCGGGAACCCAAAAACTTTGCATTTTTTTCTTTCACTTTTATTATAAACAGCCCGAATTGTAAATTATAGTTTGCTCTTAGTTTACCTGTATTCTAATTACAAAAAATCCCTCAGAAATACCCTCAATGTACGCAGATGAAGTCAAGGAGTCATAGAATATGATATAAATGTTAATTAATAATATTTATTTTTACTTAACTATACGAAATGGGACTATAAAATTTATTTGCTACTAGCTGACTCCCGCGATATTACCCGCGGTTATTGTCGTACCGCGGCTGACACCGCGGGGCGAAGCTAGTCTAAAAAAGTAGCCTAAGTTACTCCTTATATCATCAGCTATCTATCAGTGAAAGTCTCGTCAAAATCGGTCCAGCCGTTCTAGAGATTAGCCGGAACAAACGGACAGACAGACAGACAGACAAAAATTGTAAAAAAAAATATTTTGGTGTGTGTGCCGTATGTATATTCATATGCAGGTAGTAAAAAGCGGTTATTTCAATATTACAAACAGACACTCCAATTTTATTTATATGCATAGATAATCTATGAAACATTTTAATATTAAAGTTATATATAATACGTTTACGTTTTATAGCTGTAACCCGAGGTGCATACATATGTATGTATAAAAAGTCATAGAGCATTTCTTTGTCCGTATGGAGCTATTTCTGTTTGTAGTTGAATATTGATTTTACAATATCATATCGAATTAGGTGGCTGTATTCGCGTTTCCAAATATCCAATGGCTCCGGTAGTCACCGAAAATCTCTTCAGTCGTATTCATCTCGTGCGGTGAAAAAGTTAATGCACATACACATGTACTCGTAAATATTTGACGGTATGGTTTGAAAATATTCATTTTATTAAGGCACTCATTACCCCAAAATATACTGTTGATATATTAACAAAAGCTCTAAAATATCGCGTAAGAATATTTTGACGAGACAATCCTGTCTATATAACGGCCTTATAGAAGCTAAATACTAGGCATTGCTGCATAATAACGAATATAGATCAATGGTTGAAGAAAGGCTATTTATTTCGTTTATGTGACATTTTTGTAACTTTACAGGAGAGCCATTTAAAGATTAAAATTTGCAAAATATATATAGTAACAAAAAAACTTATTCAACTATTTGAATGTGGTAAACATTAATTGCAATTCAATGTTTGATGTGCAAAAACATCGAATTGTTGATACTAATACCAAATAAAACGGACCTTTAATTGAGTCGACTATTATCAAAGCCGGCAATGTGACTTTTGGACAATTATTGGTAAATCAGAAAAACGAATTATTGACTTTGTATTCCATTGGCAGTCACAAAACTCTTCTGAATGACATCTTAGTTAAATAACAGGTTAAGTATTAACCTTTATTTAATGCAGGTTTTGAACCGTATTCTTTGAAGGAGACGATTATATTCAAATCAATCTGTATTGACATATCAATAACATTTTTTTGTCCAAATGCACAGATTGCCACCTTTGATAATAGACGACTCAATTACAAAGCCGAAATGTCGCATAGATGAAATAGATTTCTTACCCCTCGAGATATGATCAGCGCCAAAAGACTACAGAATATATTCCGATTTATGTTAGATTTCTTTCCGTTTTTACAGATAATGTATTTTTTTGTTTGTTTTAGTAAACTAGATTAAAATAAATGAGTAGGCAAGTCGTTACACTAGCATTAAGATATTTTGTACAACTAACTTGGAACCGAGCAATAAAATACTTATTATTAATTTACGCCTTTTTATTTATTTCGGTGGGAGGATAGCGTAATTCTATTGCTAACTTTACTGAAAATTAGATAGTCAACGAAAATCAAACGAAGATCTTTTTATTTATTTATTGCCTAGGTGTGTGGACGAGCTCACAGCCCATCTGGTGTTAAGTGGTTACTGGAACCCATATACATCTACAACGTAAATGCACCACACACCTTGAGATATAAGTTCTAAGGTCTCAGTATAGTTACAACGGCTGCCCTACCCGTCAAACCGAAACGCCTTACTGCTTCACGGCAGAAATGAATTATCTGAATTCTGTCTTCGTGCTAAGACTAACTACATAATTAAAAAAAATTGTATTGTGATGTTTTTTTTTTTCTCTACCTATGCTGATAGCTTTGAGAGGCTATTTCAGCTTCACCCTACATGTAGATGAGCTCACGGGGCTCAAACCGGAAGTGTTGTTAACGCTGGCCCTAGCAAGAGCAGTGCTTCGCAGAATCTACCACCGGATCGGAAACGCAACCCACTGAGAAGATCCGGCGAGAAACTCAGTGGGCTGTGTCTGTGGGTTAATTCGCTCGTCGAGCCCTTCGTCGCAAGCGACGGGTTCGACGAGGACGGTGACCGGTGCTTGTGGTACCCTGGTGATCTAGCCAGCCCAGGAAACCTCCAGGAGTCCAGACGTGGTGCTTCAGCGGGTCAACCCACGTCCGTTGGCTGCCGGAATTCAGGAGGGTAACCTACAGAGGGAGAGTCAGATCGGCCGTACAACCACACCCTACAAATTTGTGTGCTCAACTGCCTGTTTTTTTTTGTAATATATATTTTTTTAACTGAGACACTAGTGCTTTGATTATACACTTAATATATTTGAGACACTAGTGTTTTGTTTTTTCGTAAGGGAAAGACTATGCAGTTGTCGCACTATGGTGATGACTGAGTGTCCGGGTTAGTATATAATGTGGGAAACCGTTCTATTCTCAACCTCAGACCTTTTGGAGGCGTCTTTGTATTTTTTTCTGTGGAAAATGTCAATGCCACAAATAAACGGCTGCTTCAAATATCCTTCACGGTCACACGACTACAGCACGATGACCAATAGCACAATTTGACTGTTTTTTTTAAATTTCATGTCATAATATAATTTAAGAAATGGGTATACATACTTACTTTTGAAATATCTTTAATGGCGCGCGACAAAAATTACAAGTGCAATGAAACGTAATAGAGGAGGCTCAGATGCTCACGGAATCTTCACTCCAACTATCTACCTATTATACTTAAGTTATTCTCATTCAGGTTTAAGCACTTCCCATTTTCTATCAGTGCTTATTTCGCAGTGTCGGTAAATGAAACCCAAAGGCAGATAGACGTTGGACACTGTAGGCGAGGACCTCACTACCAGCTACATCTCCCATGGCCAATTATACGTAGCTCTTTCTAGCATTAGACATGTCAAAAATCTGTTTATGTATGTACCAGGTAATATTTCCAATAAAATATTAGGCGGCTCTGTCCACTATGATACTTATCCGATATTTTTTTTCTCTTTTTATATTTTGCATTGTAGGAATAGTAGTTTTCGATTTAACAGATATGTAGGTATTTATGTTGCTGAATTGCGGTATAAATTGGTAAAAAAAAACGTGGTGTGCAGTGACTGCCATCTATCCATGAAACTTTGCACTAGTACGTTCAAATTCGTAAGTTTCTCAAATAATCTCTGCTTCCACATGATAAATTAATTTAGAACATAAATACAGATGGCAGCACTTCCACACCTCTAGTTGTTTTAACGACAGTCAACACATGCGCGGCAGGCTGCGCGATTTATAAAAATCGTACCAAATGCTTGCCGACACAAATCCATAATTGTCGCCCATTGTAAAAATGTCATCTCCAAACGAGAGCAGCCCAGAAAATTTGCGAAATATAGACAATGGAAGTGAAAGAACAGTGGAGAGTGCTAAAAATAAAATATCGAGTGATAAAAATAAAAATGATTCCGCGAATACCATGATAATAAAAGTTAAAAGTGCTATTCCTCGACGTAGGTGAGTTTAATAGAAACTACAATTAAAAAAATCAATAACCAAATTATTTTACAAATTGAAAAAAATATTTTTATATAATGTACATTTTTTTTCTAAATTGTTATAAGATAAAAAAACGCATGAGTCTGCTTCAGTTTTCCGGGTATAAATTACTACGCGCACTTCTAAAAATAATTTAGAGTTATCCCGTGCGTGCAAACTGTTAAACATGAACTAAATCCTATTTTAAACTTTACATAAATCAGTATATCGCCCAATTTCGAATATAAAAAATATATTCGGTTTGTGTGAATTATAGTCTTTAAAAGGGTTTAATGTAGTATTTACTATTTTCAAGTTTTGTTGAGCTCTACAAAATCCGTAGTATAAAATGGAAATAATAAACTCGAGATTAAAAAAATAATTTTAAATATTTGTTTAGGTTTCCATTATTTCCTATTCCTTATCGTCCAAGTAATATCTATACAGTATAAAGTTTTCATAAGGAAATAAACATTCGTGTACATAAAGATAAAAAAAATTTAAACTGTTTTATCTTATCAAAACTCTATGTGCAATATAGCGTACATTTGACCCAATTTTTAAGGAATCACTGATCGTTTTGAGTTATCGGAAAAAATTTGAAAGTATCTATATACATCAGTGATAATATTTTTTATTTAATACCATTCTCTTATACCTTAGTTTTTTTTCCTTCCTAAGCTGAAGGCTTTGAGCAGCCATTTCAGTGTAACCCTAACATGTAGGTGAACTCAGAGGGCTTAAGCCTGATGACGTTGCTAACACTAACCTTAGCAAGAGCAGTGCTTCGCAGAATCTACCGCCGGATCGGAACGCGACCCACTGAGAGGATCCAGCGAGAAACTCAGTGAGCTGTGTCTGTGAGTTAATTTACTCGCCGAGCCCTTCGTCGCAAGCGACGGGTTCGACGAGAACGATGATCGGTGCTTGGGGTACCTAAAAGCACTGATAGGGGATCGGGAGGATCCGAAATGACGTGTTTTGGGGGGCGTCGACTGTTCACCATTCAGTCCGCAGGATCGGGAATGGAGAGCTTAAAAGGCGACTTCATGTTTGAAGGTCATGTTGTCACTCACGTCATATTTATGGTCTCTGATAACCATCTAGCAACAGCAAGGCTAGCGGCTCGTTCATATCTACGCAATAAATAAAAAAGTGACAACGAAAAAATTTCAAATCAATACCACCACTGAACCGCGAACCTTAATCAATGAAATATATTAAATTTCTATTATCAACTATACAGGCCAAGATCTTCTTCTTCTTCTTCTTTGTCTGCGCTTTATCCCACTAGGTGGGGTCGACACGGCGAATTTTTCTATTCCATTCTCTTCTACCAGACGTCATAGCAATAGTCACTCCTCTCTCTCTCGTATCGTCATTCACACACTTCATCCATGTCTTCTTCGGTCGACCTCTTCCCCCTCTACCTTGCACTACCATTTCCATACATCTCCTATTGACATGCATCTTCTCTCTACGCATCACATGTCCATACCACTCTAATCGTCCGCTCTTTAATTTGTCAATCACCGGGGCTACTTTTACACTTCCTCTCATATACTCATTTCTTATCTTGTCCATTCTTGTTACTCCACACATCCATCTCAACATTCGCTTCTCTACCGCGTGTACTCCTCTTTCATGCTTTACTTTCGTCGCCCAACATTCAGATCCATATAGCACGACAGGTCTAATGATCGTTTTATAAATTTTCCCCTTGAGCTTTAGCGGCATTCTACGATCACAATATGCTCTTGTAGAGACCTGTCGCTATTTCACCCAACCAGCGTTTATTCGGCTCGTTACGTCACGGTCTATGTTGTCGTCATTCTGGAGTATAGAGCCAAGGTACTTGAAGTCGGAGCAGACTGGCATGTATACAACATCTAAGGCGATTGGCGTGAAGTCTGAATAACCCCCAAAATCACAGAACATGTGCTCGGTTTTCGTTCGACTGATCTTCAAACTCACGTTTTCCAACGTTTCTTTCCACTTTGCTCAAGCCCTTCATCTTCAACGAGAAAAATGTCGTCTGCGAACAGCAGGGCTCCTCCTCCTTATATATAGGCCAAGATATAAGAGGAATTTGAAATCTGTAATAGACAAGTTGTAGTAAAATTTTACTAAATTTTAGCACATCCCTGGCTAAGCGCATATTTGCCACCGATAGAATAATTTCTTCAGAGTCGATATCTTTACGTCTGAAGCTTCCGTCTAGTTCTAAGAATCTTGCACACTCGTTGCACAATTCCTCTCCACGTGTCTCTATTTTAGTCCTCTGTTTAAAATCCTCTATTTTAGTCCTAGTCTTTAATGCTTCAGATATAGACACATGCCTGTGAGTAATTTTTTTTTTTCTCCTACCTATGCTGATAGCCTTGAGAGGCTATTTCAGCTTCACCCTAACGTTTGTAGGTGAGCTCGCGGGGCTCAACCGGAGAGTTGCTAACACTGACCCTAGCAAGAGCAGTGCTTCGCAGAATCTACCACCGGATCGGAAACGCGACCCACTGAGAAGATCCGCCGAGAAACTCAGTGGGCTGTGTCTATGGGTTAGTTCGCTCATCAAGCCCTTCGTCGCAAGCGACGGGTTCGACGAGGACGGTGACCTGTGAGTGATGCCGTCAGCTTTGACCAACGGGAAGGTAATCTCCACCAAGTAGAATTTTCCCGTCGATATGACATTTTTTTTNGCGAGTGATTTTTTTTTTTTTTCTCCTACCTATGCTGAGGCCTTGAGAGGCTATTTCAGCTTCACCCTAACGTTTGTAGGTGAGCTCGCGGGGCTCAACCGGAGAGTTGCTAACACTGACCCTAGCAAGAGCAGTGCTTCGCAGAATCTACCACCGGATCGGAAACGCGACCCACTGAGAAGATCCGGCGAGAAACTCAGTGGGCTGTGTCTATGGGTTAGTTCGCTCATCAAGCCCTTCGTCGCAAGCGACGGGTTCGACAAGGACGGTGACCTGTGAGTGATGCCGTCAGCTTTGACCAACGGGAAGGTAATCTCCACCAAGTAGAATTTCCCCGTCGACATGACCTACCACTATCAGTTTTTTGAGGTTGTCATGATTTTCACACTAGTTAAGTATGCACTGACTAACAGCTTGAAGACAGCCCAGTTTTTGAGGGGTGCTCTTTGAGAATAGACATGTTTGTTCGGTGTGTTGTCTACGGGATGCGTAACACACGTACGTTTCTCGTCTCGTCTGTCTAGTACTCTCCAGGATTTAACAACATACAGCAAGATTAGTGGAATAATTTACAGCTAATATAGTATATTACTATGAATATATACGCATACAATCTTTACAGTATTTTCAGGCGTGACATTTAAGTTACAATAAAACAGCTAGAAAAATGAATTTAATAATATTTTGTATTTGAATTTATTTAATTTTTATATTTTAACTTAATCTTACTGTTATATCTTTGCATATAAAGACGATGAAGAACTATGCGTTAATAATGGTTAGTTTATTATATCCGTGTATTTTATCTACGGTTTTTTTTCTTAATTATTATTATTTTTATGATTATGTGTGAGAATATGTTTATAATTCACAACATTTTCCTTTCCTAAATTAAATATGTCATAGTAATTTTAAATCTAATTCGGTCGTCATTTTGACGTAGGGATAGTGATGACCCTGACTTTTTGAACTTCACATTTGAGGTCACGGAGCTCTGGTTTTAAATGGAGGGAGGGTATATCTTACGAACTAGTCCATTGAAGTCCTTCATATTTACGATACGATAGTAATTTTGCGCCTAAGGGACGCTGGACGTATGTGAGACTCGAAGGCTGAAGATACTAAAGGTTGAACTCGAAGATGCTAAATCCCCCCGTTACAGATCACCTCCGCATCCTCGACCGACGCTTGATCCCCACCTCAAATAAAACCTGGAACCTAGGCAAGGTTCCGGGTTCAAGTTTATCGTGATCAACACTACAGGTTTGTTGGGAGCTATACTCACCAAAAGGAAGTCACTTTGCTCACACGTCCGATCTCTGTTTCGGGGTTAGAGCTTGATCACACGGGGGTTCCCGCGGCTAATACTACAACTAGGCGCGTAGCGTAAACCCAACGAGATAATAATCGATGACTGTACATCGGACGTCACGGCCGATGTTATCCCAGAATACCCTGCTGTAATTGAGTCTTGTATTTTTTTGGCTCAACGTAAAATCATACATTCTCCTCGTATCGTCGTATTCCTCACTCCTGAGGGTCCTGACCACCCTTCAATATCACATTCTCACGCACAATGTATCTCCATCTATCCATATCGTATTTGTATATATTGTCGCACGTCTCACGTGACTCGCGACTTTATGGTTAAGAGCTGGTTAAGCATAGACACTCAAGCGGCGCGGAGAGCCAGCTGCAAATGAATAAAAACCTCGACTGAACACTTCAGGATTTCGTTTTTCAAAATATATAACAACACTAGCTGGCCCGGCAAAGGTTGTTTTGCCATATAAATTATTTCTAGGAAAGATAAATAACCTAGATACAGACTGCAGCGCCATCGGCCGCCCGGCCGGGCTGATTTGTAAATCTAAGCCGTTCTCGAATCCACCTGAAGGTACACAGAAAATTTCATTAAAATCGGTCCAGCCGTTTAGGAGCGCGATGGATGTAATGTGCTCTGCGTAAACCCTGCCCCGCCGTCTCAATTGCTCCGACTGGGTTCCCACCCGGTTTGGGGTAGGGCGCCAGATGTGAGCGGCAGGAGTTTTAGTGAGGTTCGACTCCCACATACCCCACCTGCCGTGCGGGTGGGGATCCGGCGATTATCGCCTGTGGAAAAAACAAGCCGCTTAGGAGGAGTTCAGTGACAAACACATGCACAGAGGAAATATGTATATAAATATATATTACGAGTATAATAATGTGCAAACATCCGATTTTTCTAGACTAAAACTTAAACGAAAGCTAAAATAATGTAGAAACCTCACAAGCAACTTTGTGTTGAGCGTTAAATGAAAATTTCCATTCGTAAATGATTTAGCTTTATGGTGTTCTACTTAACTAGCGAATTTCACTAATAACAATTTGCAATTCGTTGAATTTACTCCACTTTAATAAATAAAAAATACAAATTCGGTATCTAGGTACGTCATTTTCGTTGCCTACCTACCTGTTTATTTTAAAACTTAATCTTATCTGTCCTATGCTGATCGTCTTCGTAATAACTATGCCCACGATAAAAATTGATACAATTTGATATTATGATAATTGTTATCACTAGCAAAAAATATATTTTAATCTTTTTTTTTTTACTGCAAATTGTTCATTGACCTCGATCGGGAGGGCTATGAAGAAATAATGTGGAAAGTCCAATTTAGATTATTAATTGCAATGATTTTGGCATAGTACTTAATATCTTAGTAAGTAATATCTTAACCTATACGAGTAGTTCTGTTATTAGATTGTTACACTAATACAAAATACATTCTACATGTTCTTGTTTCATTTCAAGATTTTTGCAACACGCGGCATTTTAATAGATGTTCGCTAATTTTACTTACTGATGGTAGGACCTCTAGATTCCGCACGGGTAGGTACTACCACCCTGGCTATTTCTACCGTGATTACTGGTGGTAGGACCTGTAGAGTCCGCACGGGTAGGTACCACCACCCTGCCTATTTCTACCGTGATTACTGGTGGTAGGACCTCTAGAGTCCGGACGGGTAGGTACCATCGCTCTGCCTATTTCTGCCGTGAAGCAGTAATGCGTTTCGGCTTGAAGGGTAGGGCAGCCGTTGTAACTATACTGAGACCTTAGAACTTATATCTCAAGGTGGGTGGCGCATTTAAGTTGTAAATGTCTATGGGCTCCAGTAATCTAACACCAGGTGGGCTGTGAGCTCGTCCACCAATGTAAGCAATAAAAAAAAATGACAGACCCTTTAATACCGTGAAAAAATTAAGTAAGGTAGCTGATGTAATTGTTTGATCCAAAGACAGTCTGTTAGCCGTCCGTGAAAACGAAAACTATAAAGTATTCTTTTTTTCCATTGCTTAAAAGGGTGGACTAGCTTTCGGCTCGCCTGGTGTTAAATAGTTACCAAATCCCAAAGACATCTACATCGTAAATACTGCCACCCATCTTAAGAAAACAGGTCTTATAGCTTAGTTTTAACACTACGCCTAACTGTTTCACGGCAGAAATGGGGAAGGTAGTGGTACCTACCCTTGTGGACTCACAAGACGTCCTGCCACCAGTAAAAATTCGAAAGATCGGTAATATAATATAATAACAATAAAAAAACTCAAGAACCAAACACAGTTTGCGTTGTTGTCTTAAATAATATATGATTAGGTTTCATTTCTAAACAATATTGTTTTACGCTTTCAGACAGGATCTGCTGAAGTGGTACGGATGGGGCTACAAGGACACCATGTTCAAATTCAGCAGTGAGAGTGCCGCCTTCACCGGGAACAGGTAATGCTATCAAATATTTTAAAAANACTATGCCGTTGAACAACAACATTTATTTGCCGGATTTTATTTTTGTTCACCATTCACTCTGCTATTCGCGTATTGTTATTCCTAGCGCAAGTATACGTGGAAAAACGACTATGGATTTACTCGAGATTAAAATCATGGAATAGGTTATTCCTCGTATAGTTACTCGAGTATAAATTTAAGTTTGGTCGAATCCACCCTAAGTCGTTTATAAGTCTATTTGTTTTTTACTAAACCAGAAACTCAGATATGATTTACGCTCGCTTTTTTTAACTACGTACTAGTGTATTTTTACGAGTTTTTTTTTTCGCTTCACAAAAAGAAAGCTATACCTTTCAAACGAGGATACATGATTGCTTCATGGCTGAAATAGACAGGACGGATATACCAAACTTGCACCCACAATACGTAGCAGCACGGATAAGACGTCCGGTGCATTCGTGTTGAGCGATGCACCGGTGTTCGAATCTCAGGCGGGTACCAATTTTTCTAATGAAATACGTACTCAACAAATGTTCACGATTGACTTCCACGGTGAAGGAATATCATCGTGTAAAAAAATGAAACCCGCAAAATTTTAATTTGCGTAATTACTGGTAGTAAGACCTCTTGTGAGTCCGCGCGGGTAGGTACCACCGCCCTGCCTCTTTCTGCCGTGAAGCAGTAATGCGTTTCGGTTTGAAGGGTGGGGCAGCCGTTGTAGCTATACTGAGATCTTAGAACTTATATCTCAAGGCGGGTGGTGCATTTACGTTGTAGAAGTCCATGGGCTCCAGTAACCACTTGACACCAGGTGGGCTGTGAGCTTTTCACCCATCTAAGCAATAAAAAATAAATAAATAAAAGTAGTTACTAGGTCACGATCGCATTTCTTCTTCTCCCAAAAACACTCTGTCCCAAGATTATCTTAATTTAAATAGTCGTAAATTCAGAACCGCTATGCGCATATTTAGAATGGATCAACATTGAAATGTAGATAATAATTATGAATGACATGTCTTTTAAGCGTTATTTACATGAGAAAAACGAAGTAACGTGCTGTTTGTTCATTGTGGACTGGCTTTCAGTAAACTTTGTGCCGGAACCTACTTAGAAGGCAGAAGTAGGTTACAAAAAAATTAATGGCTTTTGACGGCCGACGTTTCAGAGCCTTCGATTCGCCTCGAAGGCTCCGTCGGCTGGGCGTCCTTGGGGTGAGCCGCGCAGTCTGGTTGCAGTGTTGACCGCGGTAGCCCCCCCTACCTCATCCGGGTTCTGACCTCGGAGGGGATCGGACGTCGGGTGTAAGAGTGCAGGGGAGTCGTTTAGTGGGTGGGTCCTAAAATCCTTGGGCCCGCGGTCTGCTCACAACACCATGCAGATCGTTGAGTCTCACTTACCCCGCGCGCCCCTTTTGCGCGGGGACCTCTTAGGAGGTTCGGCCCTCTACCCGAAAAAAAAAAAAAAAAAAAAGGTATAAAATGTGTCCGAAACGGTCATGATGAAAATTGAATTGCTGATGTCCCCGAGTGACGGCAACCAATCACCATTAGGTGGGTCGTATGCTCGTTTGCCATTTTGTTTTATTGCTTAGATGAGTGGACGAGCTCACAGCCCACCTGCTGCTAAGTGGTTACTGGAGCCCATAGTTATCTACAACGTAAATGCGCCACTCACCTTGAGATATGAGTTCTGAGGTCTCGGTATAGTTACTTGAGATTCCAACACGTCTTTTGCCCTTGTAGGCAGACGAGCATACCGCCCACCTGATGGTGAGTGGTTACCGTCGCCCATGCACTTCAGCAGCGCCAGGAGCACAGCCAAGCCGCTGCCTACTGCTTAATACTCTCCACAAGCCTCGTTTGAGGAAGGACATGTCATAGCGCTCGGGAAACACCGTGGAGGGGAGCTCATTCCATAGCCGGATGGTGCGTGGCAAAAAAGAAACGCACTGTCAATGAACGCAGCGGTTCCAGATAATATGGATGAACTCTGCTCCGATGGTGGGAGGTGCTCTGCCCTAGTGCCCTGGTCTCAAGTATAGTTACAACGGCTGCCCCACCCTTCAAACCGAAACGCATTACTGCTTCACGGAAGAAATAGGAAGGGTGGCGGTATCTACCTGTGCGGACTCACAATGGGTCCTACCACCAGTAAAACCCAGTTGATTCGAGGTAAGGCAGTTCGCGGCGCGCTACTCTAAAGTGCCGATTATTTAGATACCCCTCAAAGGGGTAGGTAGAACATACCTAGTTTTTCCTTCTTTTTTTTCCTACCTGATAGCCTTGAGAGGCTCGTAACCTTAACTAGTAGGGTAGCTCACGGGGCTCAAACCGGAGTGATGCACTGACCCTAACAAGAGCAGTGCTTTGCAGAATCTACCACCGGATCGGAAACGCGACCCACTGAGAAGATCCGGCGAGAAACTCAGTGGGCTCCTAGTATTTCAAAAGTAATCGTACATAATATATACGGCAAAAATAGGCAGGGTGGTAGTACCTACCCGCGCGGACTCACAAGAGGTACTACCACCAGTAAAAAAAAAAAAATTCAATGAGAGCTATCTAATCAACATGAAGCTATACTATACCGAACTGTATTCGAATACAGCTTAAAAGAGTTTAACTGCTGTATGAAGACAGACATAATTACTAATTAGTCTTAATTTAGAATTTCGTCTTTAGTAAACAGAACGTAAAGTAGAAAATAATTTTAATAGGCTAACGTAAATGCTACATTCTGGCTAACATCACGCGATTAATGGACGCCGTCAAATAAGTTAAACAAGTATTTTGTATATTGAGCCTCTGAGGAAAATATGACGCGAATATCAAAGCAATAAATGTTCTTAATTTACCCCGAAATTAATGATTATCTTACCCTGCGACAATGAAGTATGGGCCCACAACGTACCGACACCCAATTTAGCAAGAACAAAAAAATCTAAATCACTACGTTATTATGAAATTGATCATCAAATATTAACGCTTTATTCATATTTCGAAACAGGAAAAAACCAAATGCCACAAACCCACACACACCCACACACCCATTTGAAACTATTGAATTATTGATTGTTTTAAATATCCAGAAAATTATAAAAAAACTTGTAATCAGATGCGTTAAGCGTAATATTTACATATATTTATTTATATGGTGCGTATTATGAGATTGAACTAGTGACTTGGGCACCACGATTCCATTTATAAAAGCAGCATTAATCCGTTTTGCAAGGGATTACAAAAAAAAAAAAAAAAAAATATGTAGAGAGATGGATGAGTGGCCGCGTTAGCCTTATGATCTTCTATGGGCTCCGCTTAGAAGACCATATGACTAGAAGCTGAACAGCAATCTTAGACCGAAATCATTTTTGATTTAAACTAATTTTACGGCTTAATCTCGCGTGTTTAAATATCATTAAATTCTTTACGACATTTCGATTACTTTATAGATTTCGTGGTCATGGGCGACCCAAATAATATACTTACAAAATACGTAATAGTAAGTTAAATATAAATAAGGAAATATCGGAAATAATATTTTGATAGTAAAAAATGGCGAGATTAAACCGTAAAATTTGTTTTAATTATGTCTAGGGCTCGCGAAAACCAAAGAAACTACAAATCATTCTTCTTGATATTTAAAGAAAGAAATGACAAAAGGACACTTCTAGCTTGAACCCAATTACTACGAACATATTTGTGGCAATTGGTGGGCGACAGTTAAATTGACGCTTCCCGTTGTATTCGAGGACCACGTGTCGTCTGATAACACGTTGCGAGATTCATTGTCCGGTTCGTCATTTGACATTTTGGATTATTCAAATCATACGTAATTGTTGGAACTAGTGGTCCCCTGGAAGTCGAAATTCGACTATAGTTAATTGAAATTATAAGTTTGTACACTATTATGATTCTATTGTCAAAGACTATTTATTATATTTCTATAATCACAGATTGCGCCAAGACTACACTTTAAACAAATATTAATAAAGACACAACAATATTTACCTAATCTAGTCTCAATTTGACCACAGACTATAAGCAATAAGAAAAGTTTGAAAATAAACAAATAGTATAACATGCGTGTGTGTGTCAAATACATTGTGGTGTGTGTAATGTTTTTTAATTTTTTGTTTTTGGTATATTTATGGATAATTTAAAAAAATATGAACATTCTACACTCCTTCTCTATATTCTCTATAAGTATGGGAAATTTCATATTCCTCCATCCGCGCAATTTTCGTAAAAATGGGTACAAAGTTTTTACTTCACGTATTAATATATAGGTGTAGTAATGGATGTGCATTCCATGACTGCTTTGCATTCGTTGTTATCCTCAGAAACGCAACTTGGATTCGATTAACTTGAAAACGCTAGTAATTAATTCATTGGAACTTGATACGTATGCAAATTTTTATATATATTAGTCGGACGTGATGAAGTTGGTGAAAATTAAGCAGAAAGATTGCATTAATAAATGGATACAGAGTATTTTCCTCGGGTTTTGCGAGTTGTAGACGTAATCTTTAACGGCCGTCTGGTGTAGTGGTAAATGACATGGTCACTACACAAGGGGGTCGCGGGTTCGAATTCCGCCAAGGGAAGATATTTGTATAATAAATATAAATGTCTTTTCCAGGGTTATGAATGTATATTAAATATGTGTATGTGTATAATAAAAATCTTATATTTACTTCCGTTATCTGGTACCTGTAACACAAGTTCTTTACGAACTTATCACGGGACCAGTTAACGTGGCGTGACTGTTAGTAAATATTTATATTTATTAATTATTTATTTATTAATTTATTTTTAATCTAAACTACTTTTACGGCTTAATTGCGCTCTCGCTGACCACCGTGACCACGAAAACTGTAAAGTATTTGAAACGTCGCAAACAATATATTATGTAATGACAAAAAGAAACGCGGGATTGAACTGCTAAAGTACTTTTAATAAAATAAATAAAGGTGAAGTTAATGAAGGAACATTAAA